GATGAAGCGATTCCTGAAACCTGGAAGACTGAAGAAGGCTTAAGCTATACTCTGCTGCTGGTTTCCTACATTTACCTACAAATGAAGCAACCAAATCCATTTATTCATCACAAAAATGCATAGCTTCTCACAATTCATTCGGTAGACAAGAGTAAGCCGGTGACATTTATTCACTGTCTACCTTCAGTATGTTGTAGCAATGTTTGTCTGCATGCTGGAGCCTGTTCAGCCCATTTTAACCGAAATCCGCAAAGATCCAAAACCAGAAGCTTTCCTCGTCGTCATACGGTGGGAGTCAACTCAGAATCTCTTTTTTACACACACTTTCACATAATTACAAGCTTACGACGTACAAAATTCCGCAATCTCAGCCATGCTTTGGCTAGTCTCAGTAAAACCTAATCATTCTAAACTGGATGGTTGTGACTGGTGCTTTTGTCGTCTCACCTTCATGCCTAGAGACTTACAGCTCATCTGCTTGATCAGAGTTACCTTCGGGCTTACGAGATAGGGGCTATGCTTTTCCTTAGCTACTCAAGCCTTGATGATCCGGTCATGAGGTTAAACCCTTTCGTAATTACTCCGAAGTACTGCCAGTACTGTCTATTCTGACCTACACACATACAAATGTTAGCCCCCCCCCCCATACACACACACAGGCTGAAGTATATGTATCTTTAGTACTGTGAAAGAGAATAATCTAAATCATTATATATCCATCTATATCTGTATATTTTTTATTATAATTTAGGATTAGATACAGCATGTAGGATTGACTCGGACGGTTATCTTGAATTTGTGGGAATTTGAAGCTTTTTTAAGGGTGAGTTTTAGCTGTTTGGAGATACGTCAAGGGGAATGACGACTGAAAATTTGGCGTGTTGCCCACTAAAAGAGGGTTGATGCCTTGTGGTCTGCCAGCGATTGAAGGCAATCAGACGTCGTCTTCTGTTGGCATTACTTCTTATATCTCTTCATTAGACCGGAATTTGCCTGAGACATAAAAGAGGTGTCAACAATTGTAATGCAAGAGCTTCCTTGCAGGTAAATATCTCTTAGTGACACCCTACTCACCCATGAGATCTGCGTGTAATGTACCGAGTTCCGTCGGCTCGCCTCCGAAGCACCCAGTCACTCTTTCTGATTGACACTGATTGACTCGATGAACCGGTTGTGAGACTCAGATCGGAGGCGGCTGTCGTCCTTGCCTCCCTCAAGCTGTCCTGTTGGTCGTCTTTTGATGGTACTACTCTTCTAGGCGTCTGCGTCTCTTTGTTCTCAGAGTCGACCTTATTATTGGTACCACCGGAACCCCCAATAGCTTCCCGACCACCCAGTCCGGTTGACGTCATAAATCTGACTCCGGCTGGTTCGTTGGTGAGAATTCTGTCCTCAGATTTGGTACGTCTCGACTCGCCGACTTGGACCCGTTCGGCTGAGCTCGTGGGAAGACGAGCCGCATCCGATACGATCGAGTGCCTCGAGACTTTTTCACTGGCCGTCTCCAATGCCAACAGCGAAAGTTTGGCTGCCAACAGTTGCTGCTGCACTCGCATTGTGTGCATCAGTCGGTCGGGCGTTGTATAGGCGATGTGCGGGAAGAGCAGTTTCGGCGACAGCCTCAAAGCAAGTTGGGGACTTTGCAAATTACTGACGCTTTTGGGCGTCTCGTTGTGCTCCTCAATCGTGGGCTGATGGCGTCTGGAGCGCCGTAAACTCTCCGTACCGAAAGAATCTTCACTGCTAAACTTCGGACGTCTTGACGCCTCCGCCGGTTGCGAAGCGGGTTGT